GATATGAGCTATTCCAGCTTACTAAAAACTCTTAAACTAAGGTCATTTACTAGGAATAGCCAGTCACTTGTGAATTCTGTGGAGTTAGATGCTACAAGTTATTGTTTATACGGCGTATATTTAAATTGTAGATTTGATTAAATAACTATACAGTAAACACACATATACATGAGTGTGATTATATTTAGATCTACCGTTCAAATTCACACAGTGTAAATAACCCGATGTAACATTTAATTTGCCAGTGAATTCTTAACATAGTAATACTCAGAAAAAAAAACGTTGATTTTTATTTTTTTAATGTAAATAATTTATGTTTAGAAAGAATACAATCCTCAACTTTTTATTTCGCAAGTATCCAATTATCATTTAAGAAACCTTCTTAATATTCAAGAACAAGGCAAGAGGGAAAACCGTAGATTCTAGAAACAAACAATTTATCAGAAAACAGAGAAAATATCTTCTCCAGGGACTTCCAATCCAAGAACCCTTGATTTCTCGTAGCCCTTAAATCAATCTGATTCAGCGTAAAGAATTTCAAAAATGTCTTCGACAATCCCAACAACCCATTTGAAATTCAAACCCCCAAATTATTTTCTTAAACCCCCGCTGCATAATAATCATCATACCCCAAATGCCCAGCGCCATAGCATTCGTCCTCGAGCTGGGAATCCCATGCTATGCCGCTGCAAGTTTTCTTTGCTGACAACAAGGGCCTCCATTGATGGCGGCGGTCAAGCTGAAATCTTTTCTGCCAAAAAAGTATCTTCAGCTTCTGTAAGCACTCCATTTACTCATAATTAAATTGGTGGTTTTTTTTTTCTCATTTTGGTTTTTTTAGTGACATTGTGTGTATTTGGATATCAGTATGTGCGTATCACTATGCCATGTTGAATGTGTATCTAACTTTGAAGTTTTGAATTATGAACTTCTTTAATCGCCTCGGTGCATTGTTGTTAAGTGTCAAGTTTCTGTAATGTTTTTGCGAATGAAAATGATTAGCTTCGGGCCTCGTATGGGAGTATTGATATTTGATAGGGATTGATAAGATTGATTGACTTGATTACAATTACACCGCCCGTAATATGATAATATCATATGCGATTATCTTATGTCTGAGATTCGAGATTATAAATTCCCTGTTTCGGGTAATATCCTTCATCGTAAGATTGTGCAACAATAAGGGTCAAGTGGTTTCGGACTAAATTTTCTTCATATGCTTGGTTAAAAACCCATCC